CTTATATGTATCCATGTATTCATAACTATGTTTTTACTTATTATCTTGTAAGCAATTCACAAATAATAAATAAATATAATAATTAGCAATGATGAATGTTGCAGCAGTGACAGCAACTAATTAACCTTGGTTGATCTACAGCCCTTCCCCAAAAAGTTTTAGGCCTGCTTAATAGTTAAGACACTACCATGAACTCCAGCAGCTATATAGTACATTGTCAAAAAACATCTTGGAAGAAAGTAATGGCAAATTGTCTCCCTATTATTTTTATATTATTTTATATAATTATCCTAGCAAGGACACGTAATTCCCAGCAATTGAGTTCAACTCAATGAAGTATTTACCATTTTGTATGTATGGAAATACTAGTGTATTAAGTTAGCCACCACTATCTTTAGCAGTTAATATGGCAGGAGTGATGGATAGCACTTTCTTTTTAGTGGTTTCCATTTTTGGAATTCAATGGGCAAGCAATTTGTCAGATTCCATTATTACTGATTTCTAGCAGGCAAGATCCTAACTTCTATATAAAACACAGCAGGGACCTTAGATGCCTTAAAAATAAAAGTAGGGAGATCAGCTTTAGAACTTTATGAATCTCAGTTTTTTTTTTAATCTAAATTTTAACAAGTCATCAGGAACTGACCATTAAGTTAATCTATAGGTGATTTTACATTCTACTAAACTTGTATGTCATACATTACAGCGTTTCTATATTGTGTTGACAGGATGTATGCACATAGATTCCTATTACTTTTTCAAACAAATATAATTTTAACTTTTTTTTACCATGACAATCTAATCTTAAAGAAAAGAGTTCAATAATTAAAAGTACAAACTTCCAATAGAAGAAAACATATGCAGCTCAGAATTGAACTGTGGAGTCTCTGAGCTTCCTTGTTTGTTCAATTGTTTGTGACTGGCTGCCTCTGTGAAGGGAATTTTTTCGGGCGGTGTTATCTTTATCTGTGGGACGCCTGAATGCCGGTAGGCATTTGGGGGAGGCTCCTTTCTTATCCCAACGCAGTTTATTTGTTCACGGGAGTCAAGCTGCCGACCTCAGCGGTGTGCAGGCCCAGTGTCTTACCACATGAGCCACCGCAGCCCCCTATTAGCCTGATCGATTGGGGCTGATGGAACTTTTACTTCAGATGTTTTGGATTTCATCATGCTGCTTATTCATGTTCTGTTCTGATCCATAATAGAGCTGTAAGTGCTTTTTAAATTCTGCATAACTACTAAAAGGTAGAGAAGCCATGCTTTATTTTCTATAGCACTGTTGAGGTAATTCCCCTTTAGGAGAATGAGCGCATACAGGGAGACGTATAGAGAGTAATGTTGGAATAATACACACAGAGCACACAGATACACTGTACAGTAAATGTAGGTTTTTACTTCCAGAAAGGTTTAAGCAAAGTCCAAAATAAGCAATCCAAAGTCATTCAGAAATTAAATCAGTCAGTTTTCAATCCAGGGATAATCCAAATATCAAAGTCCAGTGTCAAAAAACAGTTCAGTAACAGACTTACATTAAATCCAGTAATATCAGTCAATTAGAAGAAAATGGAGGAACGGCAATATTTTCCAACAGAAGGAAACAGAGATACTCACTCAGATACACTCTCTTCTGAGACTAAGACTAAGACAACCCAGGTTTCTGGCTCCATCTTATGGCCGTTTGAGTAACCACACCCAATTGCAATTTTTAGCATGCTCTTAAAGAGACAGTATTAAAATGTCTATCCTGGTTTATATATTTCTAACCCAAATACCTGTTAGGTGACTTATATTCCTAACAAGAACTAACTTAATAAATGTTCACATGAAAATGTGCAGAATTCTAAAAGACATTAATATGCTAAGCATGACAAACATAAGCAGAAGAAAGTTCCACTGTGTTCAATGGAGTTTGTCCTTGTATATTGAATAGGGTTAGGCGTGAAGTAGCTCACTCTGTCTGTCTCTCCCTCCCGATAAAGTGAACATAGTGCCCTTTATTACTTACTTACTTATTTATTTATTATTACTTTATTATTTATTACCATACAAGCCTAATGCAAAGGTTGAAAGGCTGCTTTTTTTCCACAGGAGCCCCATGGGTGTAGTTGGGGAAAATGTTCTATAAACTTAGGAATCAGTGTTGTCATTTATTCACCTGTATATTTTGAATTATCAACAGAATAATAAAGGAAATCTTAAATTATACAGAAGCCATGCACGCTCAATGAACACAGTAATTTGAATAGAGTTCTAGATTGCCTAAATTGTTGTCTTACTGTTAAGATCTGCCAAAAACTGCTCCTGAGGGAGGAAAAAAGAGCTTTTGATTCCAATCCGAGTAAACAAAGTAGATAGATTGGCTTATTTAGCAGAAGAGCTGTTTTGACACGTATGTTGGTGGGAAAGCATCATAAGCAGAGAATCTGGATCTCCATGTAGTGGGTGTTCAATATTACAATAGCATTTATTATTTGGTTTGGGGGGGGGGGGTAGAAAAATTACTTTGATAGAGAGGAAGGCAAATGCCATTGTAAGGATAGCAAGGATTTGATCTATACTTCTGGGGCCAGATATCTTCACTAAGTTATAAAATTTTGATATGCTGTTTTATTGTCCTATTATTCCTTTCCCCAAATAACGAATTATTGTATTGAAGGAGAGCATCATTAGCTCAGGGTTGAAATGAAGGGTCCTTGGTGCTCTCTGAGCTTGTTTTCTTGTTTTCATTATCCAAAGTAGGTAATATCATCCAATGCTACCATAGTGGTAGCTGAAGTAATGATGTTACCTTTGTTGAATAATGAAATGCCTGCAAGAAGGCAACCAAGCTCAGAAAACACCAAGGATTCCTCATTAAAGTATTTCCCTTTTTATTGTAATCTTTTATTGTAAAGGGTGGTCATAGATTGTAATAAAGATATTTGATGTGATTTGATTTGATATATACTCCTTCTCTATACTCATAATTTAAATGTAATATATGGAAAGTTGAAAGAAATGACTTGTTACAGAATGCTATACCTGTCAAGAACATATTAGAGAGACCTGACTTATTCACCTCCTATAAATCTGCCTTAGGGTGAAATATCATATTTAACAGATTTGGAATCTAGCTAGGGAGGAAATGGTCTACAGAAGAAGCTAATCATGGATTTAAAAAAGGTCATGGCAGGAACTGGTATCCTCTGGTTCAAAGAAACCTAACTTGGTCTCAGGCTAGGAATAAAAAGAAAGCAGTCACAGTATTGGTCTACAAATTACTCTACATGCCTTTTTTACACATGGTCATTTTTCTTAGGCTCTGAATTCATTGTCCAACCAATTGCATGGTTTCAAATATTGTTGTAATTAATAGTGAGACTGACCTCTGTAATAAGAACGGAGATACAGGAAGAGTATCAACCAACAGTTGAGGCAGCAAACGTGCATTGAGCAAGTTGTTGGCTTCCTTGGTGTTTTATCATTTCCATGGTTCTGATAACGTTGAAGAATGACTCTACTTTCTGCCATCTCTGAGCAAGCATATGGCCAGCACAGTCAGACCCTGCACACTCTAGCACAGAGCCAGGAAAAACCAGCATTGTTCCCAGTTGTGCCAATTTGTCATGAACACATTGTAGTTACCAGGATTATATTCTGAAGTCTGTTCCTCCTGGGGTGACTTCCCTCTCATGAATGATGTTAAAGGCTACAGGGACAATTTGCTCACCCACATATTAAGAGCATACAGTGGATTTTGATGGCCCTAATTCAGCAAAAGCTGTTATTGAGTCTACTGATTGTCACATAAATTGTATGCTAAACTGATGAATTCCCATCTTGTGCTGCTACTGCAATCCATTAATCATATATGATATGATGCTGCCAACTGTAAATACATTTCATTTGTATCCTGCCTTTCTTCAAAGGCTAGGTGTGGACTGGCAGCAGTGGTTGGGGTGGGGGGAGAAGGGATGGTCTTGTGGGTGCACCTGCTGTTTGCGAAAATGGAGCTTCGACTCTTGCACACTTGCCCACCCTCTTGTGCGGCCTGATTCCCAATGGGCAGTGGCCTGGTATCGGGCCGCAGGCCGGGGTCTCGGGGACCCCTGCAGCAGCAGATATCAGATGCATATTTTCCAATTTTAGGAAAACCTATGCAGCTGGCATCACTGGAAAGAGCACTTGAAGTGTTGAAATTACTTCCCTAGCCAGCTAGGTCTCTCAGGAATGGACTCTCACTGCAGCTTCTTCAATAGATGTTTTATTACTGGTGGAGGAGCCAGGTAGGATAGCAGATTGGCAGATTGCTGTGTTCCATTTTTATTTTCCTCCTCCTCCTCCTCCTCCTCCCTTCTACTTGAGGCTGCCCTTGAAGACTATCCAGAAGTTGCAACTGGTCCAAATGTGCAGTTTTTGAGTGCCCTGCAGTTGACCCAAAGTGCAGTGCGAGCTGCACTGGTTTACAGTTGCTTCAAGATGCTAGTTATCACCTTTAAAATCCTATCAATCAACCTTTATTGCCAGAGTACAACATGTGTACAATGAGGTTGGCTGAGCCTTCCTTCCTGCACCTCCCCAACACAACTCACAGTGAAGACAGAAGTCTCTTAACCCAGTCCCAATCTTATTGCACCATGTGACCTCATTGCACAACATGCCAGTCCCGCACGTTGTACAAGGTCACATGGTGCAATAAGATTGGGACTGGGTTAGGGGGTACATGCCACAGGCCCACCTCTCCCTGAGGGTATTGACCTGTCTTAACAGGTAAGACAGGGTCGGTATGTTCCAGGTTCCCTTTCTTAAATGATGATGGTGTCTCAGATGCAAACCTTTCCTTCCCCAGCCTTTTGGAAAAGCATCCTACTTGAGAGCCAAGGGATCCCTTCATGTTTAGCCTTCTGGAGGAGGGCTGTGAAGGCCTGGCTCTTCTCCCAGGCACTCAGCTAGGATGGTGTTTTGATCTATGAAGGTGATTGGCCTGGCGCCTGGAGGGAGGGAGGGAGGGAGGGCGCTTTGTTTTTCACTATGTTTCTTATGAATTGTTGTGAACTAGAATCATTATATGAGACAGGAAGCCAGGCAGGTGCGCAAGTCTTGTAAATGAATAAATAAGTAAATAAGCCCCGCCCATTGCTTAAGTGCACCACAGGGCATTGATTGCATAGTTTGGGCTGCCATCTTGACTCCCCATGCGCACTTTTGCTACTGTTACTTCATCATAGAAAAGACTGGGGAAGAGAAAATATCCCTTTTTATGACGCAGTTGAGGATGCTGTCCATGTTCTAGTAAAGAAAGGTAGAAGGGGGGGCCGGGTCAGGTGCTTCCCATGGGAAACCTTTCAAGTTTGCAGGGTCCTTAAATTTCTTTCTGTCAGAATTCCATTTTTTGCTTTGTTTTTTTGTTCCTGTTACACTTTGCTATGAAGGAGGAAATATCCCAGGTAGAGATGTGCACATTTCACAAAAGGCTTTGAAGGTGGCTTTAAAACCTGAGCATCCACCACACCACCTTTGTGCCATTCGAGGTATTTTCAAGGCTTCACTCAAGCTTCCCCTCCCCGAAAAAAGAAAAAAAGAAAAGCTGCTGTTGCTACCTTAAGAGGCAAAGTCAATGATTAATGTGACTCTTAATTAATTGTGGTAATTATTTGATTCAGTAAAGCAGCAGCAGCAGCTTTTTTTAGACTAGCACAGGATTTGCCTTTGAAGTACACACAGCTCTAAACTCAATTCCATCTCTGGTGTGTCTCCCTTTCAGAAAAACAGCCTCCCTTTGTAGCCTCTTCAGACAGGCAAACCTTTGGCCCCAGGCTTCTTCTAGCTCCGTGGTCAATCTTCTCCCAGTGCATCGCTGGGTCAATTCACTGTGTGTTGTGCTGACGGTGTCCAGAATCTCTTCTGGTTGGATCTCAGAGACAGTTGACACAGGGCAATGTACAAACTTCTTTATTTTATTATTTTTCTTCAAAGACTAGGTAGAGCAGAATGGTCACCATAGGGTGGATGGATGGAGCCCTTCAAGTCTTCCCTGCCCCATTTGCCTGCATCTTTCACCCCACACAGATCGGGAAAGGAGCATAACCAGCTCCCTGCCAGCGCCCAGGTTAAACAAAACAGGTTAAAGTCAGAAATCATGTAACCCTCTGGCTCTGATTCAGCTACACAGTTTACTTGTCAGCCTCCTCCCCCACATGGCAGCAATAACCTGAAGGGCCTGCAGGGAGCTGTGTTTGCACTGGATTGCCCATATAACCCATTTGTCGCATCACTGTGATAGATGCCCTTGGTGGTTGCAGGTGGGACGAGGACTAGCCAATTAGACACAATGATTCTAGAAAGCAGATGGCACGAGCAAGGCAGAATGGTTCATACAACCCCTTGGCTTAGTGCGTGAACTTCCTCAACACAGATTAGTGAGAGGAAAGTAGGGAAGAGCAATTCCATGCATATGACAAGTAACTCTTGGGCACCAGCCAAGGAGGGGACAGGATGCATTGGAAGGCTGGAGTCAATTACTCTGACAATAGTGAATTCCTAAGCGATGTCCTATTCTAGAAGCCATTTGAAAAATAATAGCCCATATTTTAACTGATTCTTGGAAAACAGATCCAGATATTTCTCCTGGTTTCATGGCAAGACATGCTTATTCCCCAAGACCTGTACAGCACATAGACAGACAGACCCACTGATTTGTCTTGTGTTCTCACACATGCGCTTGGAGGAAATGCAAGAAACACTCAACACGCCTTCTTGCTATGTATATGCTATTCTCTCTCATTCACCTTTCGCCCATGAATGCTTACAAATGGTCATTCTCTGACATATAAACATTCATTCGTAGCAATGACAAGCAAATGCATCAGGGTGTGTGATACATCTGTACCTCCCATTGTAGGCAAGCATGTGCACATTCTTTGGCCATCAAAAGTGGTGGAATCATAAGGAATGTAATCCTCAGCCTCAGTCAAATTGGTCAATCTGAGCAAAGCAGATCCATGACACAGGACATGCCGCTTTTGGATATATGCATGACATATTGTTTGTATGTGCAAAAGGGACTTAAACACAATAAGATGACTACCATTATCATTTTGGCAAAAACAGCTGGAATCTACAGATACCTATCAGTCTGGGGACCTAGAAGGATATCTTAACCTTTATATGTAAGATAAGGTGGAATTCTCCAAATATGGTGAGATTCAATTTGAAAACTCAACAAACAAAACTTAGGGAAATGAATCCCAACACAATTGCAAGACATCAAGTTGGGAAAAGCTGGTTGAGGGAGATGGATCAAAAGCCATCACTAAACTTGTTTTGCCTTTTATCTCTTGTTCTTTTCTTTCCATTCTTCCTCTTATTCACTCACTCACATCACATACATACATAAAACATATATAATCTCTGCAGTTCATGTAGATTTCAAGTTGGAAGCTGATCTAGCTCCATTAAGTAAGATTTGAAGCAAACTATTAGGGTTTTCTCCTGGCTACCTCAATGACCTGGAAACTGTGTCCTGCAGCTCCTCCCAGTGACATGATAATAATATCAGAGGTCTGAGGTCAAAGATCACGGGGAACCAAAATGGTTCTTCCCTAGCAGGGAAGAGGAAGCTGAAATGAGGAGGAGCTGCAGAACAAACACGTCTCTCCTGTGGTTTGAGGTTTCTTCTCCTATCCTGGTAGCAGAGGAAGAGGCTTAGATTTCTGACTTGTATATTTTTTGTTTGCGATGGGGCGAGGATGGCCTACTGACATTCACACATGATGAAGTTAGGTTTAATTTTGTCTCACTTCTGTGGGCATTGCTATTTCATGTCCTTCCAGTATTCTAAGACATGGGGGTGGGGGGTTGCCTCTTTGTTCTTGCTCAGAATGGGGTTCTCAGATTGGCGGGATCCAGAGACTTACTGGTACTTACTTCTCTCTGCCTAAATACCAAACAATGGGTATAGTGGTAATTTTGTCAACTGAGAGCAACAGCGTCACCACAGTGTGGGAAGCTGGCTTCAGCAACAGCCCTTTGCCCCGAGTGAAAAGTGGATTTATTGCAATTTTCAGCATTCATCCAGGAGGATTATGTAGAGAATAAACAGCTTGTGTTCCCCTGGCAAAGTCCTGCCATTTTAGCACGGAGTTGACTTGCCCTGCAACCAGCATGAAATGTTGAGGGACTCTCGCAACCACACTCTTTTGTCCTATGGGATGACTGCAGACAAGCTCACGTTACATGGACAAAACAGGTGCTAATGGGCTGTCCCCTTACCACCTCCAACCCGGTCCCCTTTTCATTTTGCCTGAGGACCTTTTCTTTCCAGCTCCATGGGGCTGTACGATGACCATCTAATGAGTGACTAGCAAAGACAATTAGACAGATAACAAGTGTTGGGGTGATTTACCCTGTTACAGAGATACCTATGCAAAACATGTTGGGCGGCCAGAGACACAGACAAGCAGGCAAGGGGGTAAGGGGGTGGTCCCCGACCCCAGGACGCTCCTTTATACAGCATGACAGAGCGCAGCCTGCAGAGTTTTTAGCGTTGATAGTATTGCAGTCTAACTGATATGGCTTTAACTATTAAGGAAGAAAGGAAGGATAGAAAGAAAGAATGGTGGATTTTGGATGCAGGGAGATAACTCCCAAACTCAAACTTGACCCCATCCCTAAACAAAAGTAGAAGGGACAGAAATTTACGAAATATTCCAGACCTTCCTTCTTCCCAAATAAACACAAGAATGAAAACTACAAAACTTCCCCATAGAAGGATGGACATTTGATTTTGTTTTCAGCAGTGGCCAAGGACTGTTGGTACTGGGGAGAGGGCACCAGGCCAAATCAGCAGTGAGACTTCCTCCTTGCCTCATAGCCACCCCCTTTTTGTGTAATGTGGCTTTGAAGAAACAATGGGGAGAATTGGCCACGGAGTGAATGCAACAGTTGTGCAGTGAATGCTACTGGTGTATGCTGGAGTGTGGGTTGAGTGCCCACCACACTCTTAGGCCACGCTGGGTTGCAGAAATTGAAAAGTCGGAACGTTTTCTCATAGACCATGAAGGACCCATCCTTTGGAATCAGCATGTGTGCCTGGGTATGTGTGCCTGTAGTCTTTCTAGACACTTCAGTGAAAGAGGAAAAGGAAACAATTTCTACCTTGGATGCAAGAACAGTTCCGCTAATATTTGTGTTGGCCACTATGTTTCCATTGGGAAAGAGATTATCAGGGTCCCAGGATCAAGATATGACAGGGATTGGCTTACTGGCTTTAACATAGACCCTCTGGTCTAGTAGACAGCTGAAACTCCCTGGCCTGAGAAAGCTGTGCTGCTTTCTCTATAAGTGTTAGTGCATTCCTACAACCTCCTAAAGAAAGCAAGGATCCTCAGTTGGATGCATGAATGCATCCCATTCCCTCAAGTGTCTTCATTTTGGTCAATTGATCTCTAAACCGATCTCCACATTCATTGCTTTCTTCAGCATGGGAAGGAAAGTGTGATTTCATGCTTTGTTTTTTTACTCTGTAAAAGTCTGCCAGAGAACTTTTTGAATAAAATACTACTACTGGATGGTGGAAGGGGGAAAAAAAATCACCTCTCCCTCAGGGCCCCCTAAGCAGCCCATGTAATATTTTTTTCTACTAGTAACTTACAATTTTTTTTTTGCAGTGGGCCCCCATGCTAGGCTTGTGGTAGGAGTTTGATTCTTTTCAGGAATGAGTTCTTCCTCTCCAAGCATATGACAACACTATGATTTGCCAATAGCCCTAAAGTGAGGATTGAGATCAGTGTGTATGTGTGCGTGTGTGTGTGTGCATCTGTAACCAAGTGGTCCTTCCCTTGGTCAGACATGGAATGTGAGGGGCTACCTTGGCCCCCATGAATTAGGCAGGAACAGCAGAACAGAGATTAAGAGGCCACAATCTCTGTTTGGCAGTCAGCACAGGGCTGAGGAATATGGGGGAAGAAGGCAGGCTCAGAGGATTGTGCAAGGGCCTGGCCTCCCTCTGGTGCCCCCTCCTCCAAAACCCCATGAGGTTGCGCAATTGAATTTGGTCCCCATTCTCATTTGTGTTTGCTTTGCTTTGACTTTCTAGTCAGCTGGCCCTTTGGCACCACAGAACTCCACTCCAGCTTTGTGTTGGGAAGGGAAAGCCCAGGTGAGGGGAAGGAGATAAAGCTCCTGGCAGTGCCCAGCCTGTGGCTCCAAGGAACCCAGCAGACGAGAGTGATGATGGCAAGGGGGCAGAGGAGGGAGTATGTCCCGTGCCTGATGTGCTTCTCTTGGGGACCGAGAAGAAGGCCTGGGAAAGTCCTGTGGCACAAAGACATGTGTGAAGTCTCCCCTTGAAACAAAAACTGGAAAGGAAAATGCCCCATGAAACCCCAGAAGAAAGTCCCTTCACCACCCCAAAGCCTGAACCGAGTGTTGAATCGGCAACACCAGGAAACTCTGGGTAGGATTTGGGCTGGTATGGCGGCTACTTCTTGAACATGTCCTGCAATGGACCTGGCAGATACTTGAGCACTGTATCCAGAATGCTCTCCTCATCCTCATCTTCCTCGTCTCCACAGCCAGCTGGGATGGCTTTCTTGGGTCGTGTCAGGCTCCCCTCACAGGGCTGTTCCAGGGCTGCCTTCTCCTCTGCCTCTTTCTCCTCTTTCTTCTTCAGGCCATACTATGTGGGGGAGACACACAAGACTTGTCAGAGAAATGCAGGAGAAGTAGATCTTGACTGCAACACCATTGGGCCTTGGGTCATAGGTGTCTTAAATTAAGATTGCGTTGACTTAATCCCTGAGGCTTTTGAAGATTAACCAGCTGCTCCAGTCAATGACATAGTAATACAGTCTGTTCTTAGGGTTACCATCTGGAACATGAACACTGTATAGGAAAGACTTTTAAATTTTACCGATAATTGTGAGACAAAAATTGCGCCTTCTATTGCCTTTATGTATTTCCCTTACTGTCTAAGCTAAGACAGAATCTAGATGGGTCACCAAGTACTGGAACAACACATGGACCCTGAATGAGTCAGAGGTAAGTAACACTAACCCTTACCTTTCACATTAATGGAAAATCTGGAAAAGTATTTTATGTTTTTTCATTCATTTAGAAAGCAACTTCCTTGTCCACAGTTAAGGATGACTTACAATAACCATAGCTAGCATGCCACATGACTATGCTGGATGTAGGCAACAAGAGTTGTAGTTTGACATGACTTTAAGGCCCCATGTTGGAAGGTGGATTAAATAGTGTAAGTTCTACACTGGATATCTGGCTAAAGTATTTGAGGGTGCTATGTGCTTGAATAACATTTCCCTTTCCTCTCATGACACAGTGAAGGTAAGGCTAGGAACATACTGAACCTAAACAAGTGCAAAACATAATGTGTTCCTTTGCATAACCTGCAGCCTTCTCATCTGCCCCAGGTAAAAATACACCACGGGCTGGTCCCTGGCAGCCACGAATGCCCTATCTACTTCTGGAGAAATATCTTGAGAATTGCAGATAAGGACACATTGCCTTAATATTGCCATTTTTAGGGTGGATAACAAAGACAGGCCTACAGCACCCCTGTTAATAATCTGAGGATGACTGGAGCCACAAGGGGGGCTGTGATTGGCAGAGGGAATGACTCTGGAGAGATAGCCTACCCTGTCATCTAGTAAAAAATGGGTTTCGTGGAATTGATACTAATTTTGCATGCAATTATCTTTATAGATGTAAACCTCAACTTACAACAGTTCATTTAGATTAGTTTTTCTTCATTCAACATTTGGTATGCTACCATATTAATATGGAGGTTCTGTGGTCTTTTCTTCCAGTGAAACTTACTCTTATTGAGCGTTCCTCCATTGTTACTCCTTCCAATTCAGTTGATGCTTTGCATTTTTATGTGTACAATATTTCTAGTCTACCTCTTCTTGATGCACCTGTTACACATAATGTTTTCAACTCACATTTCCATAATTACTTCCTACAGCTGGGATAATTTCCCTTTAATTTTTTCTGGTATCAGCTTTGACATCCAACCCTTGTTTTCCAAGCTGTATTTGCTCTGGAAGAGTTCAGTAGGAGTACTTCAAACTCCACAGCATTCAAACAATGCAGAAGACTGATGGAGTAATCGTATCAGTGCTGGTTCTCTCTTGGTGCTACAGAATGAGAAATTGGCCTAAAAGATATTATTAGCGAAATGAATGAATTGGCAACACTTGTGATGAGCCTGTCTTCATTGAGCTCACTGTCTGTAAAGAAGGGCCAGGCATTAATCCTTTTAAAAGCTGTGTTATAAAAAAGGGCAGATACACTGAAGGCTAAGCAAAGAGCACTGGCTCAAATACTCCCATCTCTGCATAATTATTTAAGAGGGCAACAGAACCTGCTCATGCTAAGCTATTGCTGCCTTAATTTTAAGGTTTAAAAAAAGGCAGATGACAGAGACTGAAATTTAGTTACTTTCGGTGCCCTGTATTCCCCTCTTAGAAGACAAATGAGCCCAGAGGAGAGGAGTGGTAGAAAATAGCAAAGGAGGATAGCAATAGCAATAGCACTTAGACTTATGTACCGCTTCACAAGGTTTTACAGCCCTCTCTAAGTGGTTTACAAAGTCAGCATATTGCCCCCAACAATTTGGGTCCTCGTTTTACGGACCTTGGAAAAATGGAAAGCTGAGTCAACCTTGAGCCTGGTGAGATTTAAACTGCCAAATTGCAGGCAGCCAGCAGTCTGCAGAAGTAGCCTGCAGTACTGCATTCTAACCACTGCGCCACCATGCCAAAGAACATTCTATCAGCATCCAGATTCAGTGCAGGATATGATGGCTCACGCCTGGTCCAAAGCCAATTCATTTATTTATTAAATTTACATGCCCCTTAAGACCATACTCCAAATCTTTATGAATGATTCTCCTCTTGCTGCAGTGCAAATAGAGAAATGGGAATCAGAGAAAAATCATTCATGAGCAAGTATAATCCCAGGGGAGAGCCAGCCTGGAAGTTAGGGTGGATCATATCACTCTGCTGAACAGACTATCACTTCTCCAGGGGCGCACTCCTAAGTCTGCCTTCTGGAGATGAAAAAAGGAAAACTCAAAGAAAAGGAAAAAAATGTAAAAAGCAACAGTAGATGGGCACTGAACCAATGAGTTTAGTATGCAGCTGAATGAATTACTGTTGCTAATAGCAGAAAGCAGCCTTTCTTTTAATATCAAGAAGCTGAATACTGGCCAGCGTTAGTACATTTAAGGATTATCAGCAACAATAAAGAAAGTTCACATCAAAGGAGCTCTAAGATGGTAATCTTATGGCCTGGCAGAGACCACTTCACCTCTAGTTGCTGGACTCTAAACAGAAGCTCTTTAAATAATTATAGCTGGCCCTGGAATAAGAGCTACAGAGAAGAGGCTGTTCTTTGTAGAAAGAAAAAGAAGGAATAATGTTTAGGAGGTGAATGAGTGTAACCATGTTGTGTGCAGGTGGGTTTCTCTTTCATTCATCTGGAAGGACTGCAGCGAGGAACAAGCAATGCTGGGACGTTCCAGTAGGGTACAAATAGATTCAAGGGCTCATGGCAACAGTCCTTGTTGCTTTCCCTCAGTGAAGAGGGACAAAACTGTGAGGCTTTGTTCTCGATAGGCAGGGTCATCCTGCTGGCATAATGCTGTCAGTCAAGGGGGAAAACGGGATTCGATCCCTTACCAGAGAGCAGATGACTTAATGGCTGTGGACTGCTTCCCTTCCCATTCTCTGGATACCACCCTGTTCCTGGGCAGGAATCATTTCCAGGTGTCAGAAGCCCCTTCAAGAAGCTGATACCTGAAGGTATCTTTCAGGAATTCAGTTGTTCCATGTATTTCCCAAAGCACAGGGCAGTGAATGGGCGTAGCTGGCTGCACTCAGTGGACATCTAGTTGAGAATGGAAATGCTGGACTAAAATGGGCCTTGGTCTGATCCAGCAGGGCTACTTTTATATTCTTACCTTCAGGTGCTGGCTGCCCAGGTGCCATCTTTGCCCAATCTTCATTGTTCCCCTTTGGGGAAGCCACATTTCAAGTGCAATAGAGACCTGAAGTTGCAGCCCTTCAGTGGGAAGGCAGATTGGGGGCAGGGTTTCAGGGAGAGAGCAGGGGGGTTCAAGGAAGGAGAGGGACCTTGTTTGGGTCTCTAAGGGCTAGATGGAGAAATTGGGAAGGGTTTTATCCCATGGACTGGAAGATCTCCATTCCCGCTGTAGATAATTGTCCAAGATGCTGGATCTGTAAGGGATATTATCTATTGAGTTTTGCAATATTCCCATCTCCTGTAATTGCTCTAGCCCATGCTAGACAGGAACCCTATGCCATGGAAAGGCTATATTAGATATGACATAGTTATAGGACAAAATTTCTGACTCTCTTTTCCCCCTTTATTAAAAAGTTGATGCATGAAGGAGTTGGAGTGGCCATCCAAATGTCAAGCCTTGGGGGTAGAATTACTGTACCTTAAACTACAACCCCCAGCAGCTGATGCATGGCCTATAATAAAGAATGGCAGCCTCTGTAACAAGGCATGAAGAAGTCAAAATGATGACACTGATTGTGAAATCATCATGAAAATGGCATGTTTATGTAATGACATCGAGATGTATGAGGCAAGTATATTCCCCTCAATTCTTGCTCCTTGATGGATGCCCAATAGGAGAGATGCTCAGAATTACAGTTTAACAACAACCATTTAAAAGATGCAAATTTTTCTGGGTAATAAATGCATTTCTCAAATAATTAAGGTTAGATTGAGTGGCTTCTCAAAACTGTGTTTTTGTACTTTAAAAAAAGAAGCCATGTCTTGGCCATCGTGATCAAGTTCTCCCATTTCCTAAAGCTCAGTCTCCCTACTGTCTATCCTTTCCTTGCCATTTCTTCCAAACCACACCCTCAAAATCTTAGTGACAGAGAGATTAATTGAAAAAAAATGGCAGGAAGGTGACCCACCTTATCACGGATTTGTTGCCGAACCTTTTCCCGTTCAGCCTCCATGCGGGCGTGCTTTGCCTTGCGCTCTTCCTCTTGCTGGCGTAAGGCTTCTTGTCGTTCTTCTTCCTTCTTCTGGGCATCAGGGTCTTTTTCCTCTTCTCCTCCCAACATTTTACCCATGTCCTTCGTGGCCCCTGCACATGGCATGGTTGAAAACATAGTAAGAGGGACTTCTGTGGGAAATCCTGTTTCTTTTCAGTATTTCCCAGAAGGCTGGTGTTATCCACTTCTACTATTAAGGATCAAAACAAGGAGATGGTGGATTGACTGGTGAAGTTTCTTCAGTCAGGCAAAATGGCTGTCAGTTTCTCCATTAGCCTTATAAACAAAACCTCCTGAAACCTGCTAGACATTATTATAATGTTTACCAGGACCAGTGATTTACATTTTCTTTTCTAGATGGAAATGTAGATGAGTGTTTTAGGCCTGAAAGGGGGTGGCTTTGAGCCAGTCACTCTCTCTCAGCTGAACACACCTCACAGAATTGTTGTTGTATTAGATATGCTCACTGCCTTCAGTTATTTATAACAATGGTAAAGGCAGGATAAAAGCAAGCAAACAAATAAGTATCTCTCCAAGGCAGAATCTCAGAACCAATAATCTTCTTTCTGGTTGTGAGAAGTCAGTATTTTCACCGAGACAATTAGCAAATTTCCATGGCGGATCTCTAGGGGGAGCTCAGATATCATTAGACATCTGACGAAGAGCACTGTATTTTTAAAAAGGGCTTCTCTCTCTTTCTCTCATATTTGTCTTGGTTTTTCCATTACGACAACATTGTCTAAGCTTGAATACAATATTATATAAGCAATACCTTTGTACTTAGGAACGAATACCCATGATTGTGCTATTGTGGGCAAATGCCTGGACAGTTCTATCTTCATAAAGAAAAGAAAAGAAAAAGAAAACTTCTATATTAGCAATAAGTAAAGTCCAAGAACTAATCAGACAGCATAGTTAAGGAATTGGGCTGGGACTCAGAAATCCAGATTCAAATCCTATTTGATTTTGGAGCACATGCAATAAAATTGAGTCAGTCCTTTCTCTGAAAGCCACTACTTTACAGACTTTTTATGGTGAAGATACGATGAAAGGGTATTGATCTCTCAGGAGCTCAAAAGCAGAGATGGATAACTTGTGGCCAAGTCCTCTTTTTTTTAAATAGGCCTTGAAACTCTCTCCAATCACATCTATGGGCATTCACATTATGTAGGAGATATCAACTGAGAACTTACCAGGATAATTATTTTAGGTTTCTCTGTTGTAAATTGTATGTTTCAGCCAGAGGTGGTATTCAGCAGGTTCTGACCAGTTCTGGAGAACTGGTAGCAGAAATTTTGAGTAGTTTGGAGAAGTGGCAAATACCACCTCTGACTGGGGATTTTACAGTATCCTTCCCCTGTCATGCCCTCAAGCCACGCCCACAGAACCAGTAGTAAAAAAAAATTGAATCCCACTACTGGTTTCAGCCATGAGAATGAGTTACTTTTACTTCCAGCTGTGCAAGGGATTTACAAATTTGATAAGCACTATGAGTATGGGTGGTCCTGCCTTATTTAAAGAACAGAATTCCAGATATTCACTATAAAAGTCTGAGCTTTGTAAGATAGGTTGTAGAAGTGTGTCATTGCTTGAAAAAAGCTTTCTGAAGAGCTTGGAAAAACAACTGTTGATGCCCATCAGACTGAAAAAGTTTACAAAACTATTCCCAAAGTGTTTATCCTCATTGTCAGTCAATTCATCATTATTGTTACCATCCCTAGGAGTGGATGACCAACCAAGACCATAACAAGAGCATGGCGTATAATATTTCAGGACATCTAAAAAAAACCCAGGTGAACAAAAGGCCTCTTTTGCATTGACAAATGTCAGCGTTTGTGATGCCACTATCAGGAGAGCACAGAGCAATAAAGATGTGCTGCAAGGCAGGCAGGTTGAAGAAAGCCACTGTTCTTCAAAAAGAACATTCTTTCCTATCTACAGTTTGTGAAAGACCATGTGGATAAGCCAGAAGACAATTGGAAGAATGTTCTGTGGTGGCAGCGTCATGATTTGGGCCTAGGGACCCAAATTTGCTGCCTCTGGACCAGGGCTTGCCATCATTGATGGGACTATGAATTCTGAATTGTACCACCAAATTTTACAGGAAAATGTCAAGATATCTGTCCTTGAACTGAAGCTCAAAAAAGTGGGCAATGCAGCAAGACAATGACCCAAAACCCACAAGTTGTACTGCCAAAGATTGGTAAAAGAAGAAGAAAGGAATGGCCAAGTCAAAGTCCTGATCTTAATTCCACAGAAAAGAGGAAGGACCAGAAGTAGACTGTCATGCAAGGAAGCCCATCAACATGCCTGAGTTGAAGCTGTCTGCTTCCACCAGAAATTCAGTCTTAACTTAGAATAGTAAAACTAAGAGAATATTGTGAGGAGGCAAGACTTACCCCCTAAGGCTTGTTTCATCACAAAATCCATTACTGCTGGCCACGTTAGTGAGCTCTAGGAAGTTGTAGAATTCTCATCCAGTGCTGCTGATAGAAAGCTTGGAGTCAAGGGCTACCTGGAAGGGAAATGAAATCAAATGAGCAGGATGAAGTGAAAAAAATTCAGTGACTGTTGAACTAAGCTCTGACCAGTGAGTCATCCATTCCTTCAGAAGCCCAAATCCAATGCAAGGAACTTAATATAATGACTAGCAATGCAAGAATAAATGAGCTGTTAAGAGGCACAAATGTACCAGACTTCAGGTGTGTTTAAACATATTGGGGTGTCATATCCATCCTTTTTACAGAAATGAGCATAGCTTCAATAATTTTTTTAAAATCAAAACAACAATCATTTAAATTTATGAATGTATCCATCATTCTTTGGACCTGTTGCTTTTCTAGTACCAAGGATAATGTTCAGATAATGAACACGACAGGACTGCAAAACTGCAAATTGTGAACGAGCATAAAACTTCAACCATGGAACTACAATGAGTTACACACTATTTAAAACTCTGCCTCTTGAATCTTTTTTAGAGAGAAAGATGTTTCCTGCAATATATTTTTAAGAATAAATGCAGCAAATAAGCAAATAAGCAATGCACATCCACATGTCTGACTTCTGTAATAAAAATTCATTAAAATTGCCTCTAAGTGCTGTTCAGCTAAACTTGAATTTAAAATGTCCCGTCTTTTAAAATTTGATAACTGTCCATTAAGACCAGAGGCAGCTTATCCATTACAAAATTGCACTCTGTAGATCATGCTGACACTTCACAAGCACCATGTAGGAGCTATCATGGCTCAAACAAAGTTAGCATTTGCTGACAAAAATTCATGCCATCAATAATTGTTACTATTTCAGCCGCATAGATGAAAATTGAAACTAATAATTGTTTTTTCTGCAACAAGCAAATATAGCCAACTTTCTAGAATGCATTTATTTTATCAACTGATGTTTTAATATTAAATTGATAAAACTGACAAAAACTGATAAAATTTATTTTTAATGATTTTGATAAAAAGTATTGCAAACCTTCATGTTTTGTAGATTGACTTCTACCTATGTCTCTAGTTTTGACTGGCCCATATCTAGTGTTGGCTGGGAATGTGGTTGCTAGAATATTAGATCTGTGGGTGTGATGAAGGAGATTCAATCTTGAAAACACCTGATACCCTGCAATTCATACGTAGACTTTATAAAGAATTTATGAGTGCCATTGTATTTTCTTAATAGGCATTTTCTACGTCTTGATACAAAATTATCCCTGATTATTTGTTTATTCCAATTTTCATCAGCCTCTGCCCACTTCCCAGAGTCTGAAAATTAAAGCAGTCTCAACTACAAAGAACAGGTTTATACCGCTCCATTTAAACACCATAAATACCTTTTCTACTGATTACTTTCTTCAGGAAATGCCTTGCTAAGAGCCAAGGGATCATTTAATAGGTACCTTCTCCAGAAAATGAGATACATGCTCCAGTGTATGTGTATTCCGAATGAAATCCAATGCAATTTATTAGAAATCAGTCCTAAGTAAGTTCATGTTAGTCTGAATTATGAAAGAAGGCTTTACTCCCCAGAGGGCTTAAAACATAATTCTGGATATAAAACTGGAAAGTTCATAAAGACAAATACACACACATACAAAACTAGTTCTCATTGTTATTGATTATAATGCTAACCTGTCCTTTTTTTCTTTCTTTCCTAAGGCTGATTGCAACAGTGATCTGGGTGGCTGGATCGCTTTCAGCTACCTAAGCATGATAAGTTGACTTTAGTAAGTAAATGCAAGTCCTTTTTCCATACTCTTTTTTTTTTTTGGCCTTTCTCCAGAGATAGTTTGCCAGGGATCAGCTGATTCTAAGAACAGATCTTTGAGGAACTGGAGCAGCCTGAAAGCAACTGTCCATATGTGATATATCTTAAGAACTAGATGTGAGCCAGGCTCCATCCTACGAATATGGCCATGAGCAAAGCTTAGATGATTTTAAGAAGGGGGAGCTATATTCACAAACCCCTGCCCCAGTTTTTGTTTCAGGTAGAGTCTTTGCGTGCCATTTTCACTCAGGTTTGAATTAGGAGGACAATGAACAGAGTGTTGCCTTACAATCAGAAACTATAGGGGCATAGTTTTGAAGGCTTGATCTTAGATACTTCACAGGTACTTCAGATAATTCTTTACATATTTGTTACACTACAGAAAGAAGCGTATTATAAGGTAATATATTTTGGATTCATTTCTTCCTCTACAATATGACATAGTGGAAAAAGAGGGAGGAAACTCTCCAAGCACCAGGATTGTATTAGGCAAAATTTATTTTAAATATGGGTTTTATGCAAAATGATCCTTAATCTTTCATCAATCTTATTTTGTTTCAGAGTAGTTCCTGACACTGAATTTGCTTTTAGATTTGGAACAGACTAGGGATTACACCCAACTTAATTAGTTAGCAAACTGGGAATGAATCCCACTGACCTTAGTGGAACTTCTGAGCAGAGAGGGCTGTAAAATGGGGTTAAACAACTTTGTTTTTATATGCTGCCCATATGATTCAGTATTTGGTTCATGCAGTACTGTAGCGATGTTATTATGTAATGCGCAATCCAGAAGAACACAAAATAGCAATAGCACTTGGACTTACATACCGCTTCACCTTGCTTTACAGCCCTCTCTAAGCGGTTTAGAGAGTCAGCATATTTCCTCCAATAATCTGGGTCCTCACTTTATCAACCTTGGGAGGGTGGAAGGCTGACTCAACCTTGAGCCAGTGAGAATCAAACTGCTGAACCGCTGGCAGTAGGCAGTCAGCAGAATTAGCAAAATAATTACATGGATAACAACAATATGCATGCCATTCAGTTCTTCAAGGTATACTTCAATTGTCATCCCCCCCCATCCCCCAAAAAATATGTTTGAAGGAACTAGAAGTAAAAAGGAGACAAAAGAAAAATTGGATTTTATCAGCCTCCTTTGCCATATAACTATACTGTTCACCAGTGCTCTCTTTATCATTTGGAATGTTTATGTCACTCCAAGATTTACAAACTTTCATTTGTAAAAATGCGGCCTGATTATTTCTGGGGGGACGACACCCAACACCACCTGATGTAGAGAGCTTAGTCTGACTCATTCGCTCTATCTTGAAATGTGGGTAGCTATTTATCTCTAGGAAGCGGTTGCCGACATCTCACTTAGGCCTGTAATTGCTGTGGTGAGCTGAGGTGTGGAACCCATCTCTCTCTATGCTAGTTTCTAAAATGGAAAATATGAACTGATTTCTTTACATCACGTTGGGAGTGATGCCTGTGCGAGTATGCATCTCCCCCCCGCCCGCTGTTGACTTTCAGGAGGCCTCCCCACAAAATTGATCCTGTCCTGTCTACCATAGATTAAGCTACTGCTGCTTCTTAGTAATTAGGATCATTTTGGAAGGCAGAGAACACTGCAGCAGTGCAGGTCACAGGAGATAATGGATTGTTAGCAGTGTGGTGTATTCTGTGTTACACTTAACATCAATGCTCTATTCTCTACAGTGCTTTTAAGCCCCACCACAAAAGCAGTATTTGTAGTTCCGGGCTATCTCTCTCTGATGCAGTGCTTTGGTACAGAGTCAGTCCAAAGAAGAGGAAACTCATCGGAGCCAGTTGCAGTAATGTTCAGCAGAAAAGTGTCCCATGTGTTCTGTTGATTTGAAAGAGATGTAGGATTATTAAGCTATGGTCTGCAAGGGTTGTATTCTGGAGGGACAGCCTCATTAACAGCAATGGACTTCCTTTCGATCAGGGGTTCCCAACCTTTTCTATACCCTGTGCCCCTAGAACGCTTCTGATATATTCTTGCACCCCTTACAAAAAATAAATAATTATATGCATATATGCTATAATTTTGAAACTTCTGAACCCAGGTTTTCGCACCCCCCGGAATATCATCTTGCACCCCCCTAGGGAGTGCGAACACCTCAGGTTGGGAACCCCTGTTGTAGATTAAGCACCGACAACTGCAACTTAATTTTTTTTAGAATCATGTATAGGGAAGGAATCATTTTCACAGGAGAATGGCATTCCAATAGGGTGTAGGAGATGATCTGGAATAGTCCCCCCCCCCCACTATGTATGTGTACATACTATCAATGGGATAGTCTATATTGTAATAAATGAGGCTTGGAAAATGAGGTCCGTAAAATAATTCCCATTGAGTAATAGGCAAGATAAATCCTAGCAATAATAATAAACCAGGGAATAATAATTGTTGGAGACAGAAAGGGCTATGAGCTCATTTGTTGCAACTGCCCACAAATGGCAAATAAAACAGGCTAATATATTCTGAGCCTACAGACTATCTGGCTGAATGCAACTTTCTTTTCGCCTATCAGAAACATTTGTATTTTGTGTTTTTCAGATTGTGGGAGAGAGACAAATTAATCATAAACTAATCAACAATGCACCACAAAAATGAAAAACAAGGCATGGAAGGGGATCCTTTTTTATTGGTCTAATTTCAGTGTGATCAACCGCTTCCTAGAGATAAATAAGATTTTGAGTCACAGCAATCTTTTCTGAAGACTCGAATATTCAAAATTCTCATTTGAGAACTGCAGAATACTTCGGCTTAGTTCAGGGAAACGTGATCAGCTAGTTGACATATTTGATTAGAATCCTTCTTGCTTTGATACAGAAAGAAGACTGGGCTTCTTTATATGGATAATCCTTGAGCTACGACCACAATTGAGTTTCCTAAGTGAAATATTTGTTAAGTGAGTTTCTCCCACTTTATAACTTTGCTTGCCACCATTGTTAAATGAATCATTGCATTTGTTAAGTTAGTAACATGGCTGTTAAGTGAAACATACTTCCCCATTGGTTTTTGCTTGTCAGAAGGTCACAAAAGGTGATCACCTGACCCTGGGACACTGCAACCGTCATAAATATGAACCAGTTGCCAAGCATCTGAATTTTGATCGTGTGACCACGGGAGCACTGCAATGATTGTAAGTGTGAAAAATGTCGTTAAGTCACTTTTTTCAGTGCTGTTGTAACTTTGAATGTTCACTAAATAAACGAGGACTATTTGTATACAAAAAATAAAAAAAAGAAGGGGTGGGGTAAGCATGATATAGAAACAACACCGCAGCACAGAAATATAAAGAAACTAGCCTATAGAAGTAGTCCTTGACTTACAGCTGTTCATTCAGTGACTGTTAGAAGTTGTAAGGGAACTGAAAAAAAGTTACTTTTGAGTGGTCCTCACACTTATGACTGTTGCAGCATCCCCATGGTCACATGATCAAAATTCAGATGCTAAGCAATGGCATATATTTATGATGGTTGCAGCATTCCAGGATGACTGGATTGTCATTTGTAACCTGCCCAGCTGGCTTTCAACAATAGGGAAGATGGATTAGTTCAGCAACTGTGTGATCCACTTAACAGCAGTGGCAAAAAAAGGTCATAAAATTGGGTGCAACTCAATTTTAACAACTATCTTACAAAGCTATGGAAATTGTGGTCTCAATTCAGGGAATACCTTGTAAGGCAATTCCTATTTTCTAATATCGTTAGGTTAAAAAGAAACTTTATAAAGGCTTACAAAATTATAATAACAGTCAATAAACAGTGTGGCTTTTTAAATAATTCATTAATATAATAACCAATGTATCCCATGAACTTTACAGGATCAAGTTCTTCTTTATCAATCCAATTATCTTACATATTACAATTTTAGTTCCAACATGTTTTATTTGTCACCACTATTTTTCTCACAAATACACCCTTTTGTACAGGAAGGTGGGGTTACGCAAAAATTTGGCAAACCTAAACTAAACTTAACTTTGAGCCAAAATTTCCTAAGGAGAATTCTCTCTCTCTTTAGAGAGAGTGTACCAGTTTGGTGTAGTAGTTAAGACATCAGGCGACAAACTGGGAAACCCTGAGTTCTAATCCCACCTTAGGCACAAAGCCAGCCAGGTGACTTTGGGCTAGTCATTTTCTCTCAGCCCTAGGAAGGAGGCCAGGGCAAACCACTTCTGAAAAACCTTGCCAAGAAAACTGCAGGGACTACTTCAGGGAATCTGAAAATTAGACATGATTGAATGGAAGAAAAATAAAAGAGACCTGACTTTCTCTGTTGATATTTCATCGTGCCAATAAATAGAATGAGAAGTAGCAGCTACATATTGCTTAACAGGACAGAGTGAGGATCCACATATAGTGACTGAACATCACAGTAAGAGAAATAAACCCTGAGATTTTATGGAACATCCTATAAACCGCTCCTGTCCATTCATCCTTGGACACTTGGGTAGAAACAATATTTTAGACACACGAAGCAAAAGAGATGGTTTTTTCCCCCCAACCAGCAAGCCAATAAGCCCTCTTCCCTCAACAAATCACCTATAGAGCTTCAGCAGCTTGCATCCTGTGTGAGCTGATGACAGTCAAACAAGTCCCTGTGTAGATCTGCCAGGAATGCCAATTGCCTAGCCTCGGGACCAAGTTCTTCTTCATTGGCTGCTACACACACATTCAGAAATTAGTTCTGCTGTTGTGTTCTTTATCTGCATTGCCCTATTAAATACACAAGCATGCTTGCTTCCTCCCTGCCGTCTATGCATGCATGTCTCAATGTGCCTTCAAGACACAAAATCTTAAGATCTCCTACAAAGATGTTTCTAAAAAAAAAAACCACAAAGAGTGAAATTAGGTTTAACATGTGCAAGGATGGATAACAGTTATAATTCCAGATGGTGGAAATTTAACCCTTTCCTCTCCCTGAGGTTTGAGGAGCCTAAGGAAAACACCTTAGAACTGAGATTTCCTTTGATTCGGATGTCTGATATTTAAATGGGACGAGACCATCATAACATGGGTGTGCTGCCTGCCTGCCTGGGGATCATGGGAATTGCACTCTACGACACCTAGAAGGCATTAAGGAAGAAAAAGCTGTGTTACACTTTGCAACTAATGATGTTCTTGATCCTTTACACATACCCCTTTCATGTTTATAACATGCCCTTGCATTAAATATTTGCATTTTTATAGTATGTTTTCCCCTCCTTTTTTAATAGACACATTTCTTTATGGTCTCTCTCCATTTCTTGCACAAGCACACATAATTTTTCATGTTACTCAGACCACTAGAGGCTTTTATAATTATTCTCACTGGCTACACATGCACACTCTCTCTTTCCCAACAATGCAGTTCTCTCTTTCTTCCACCCACATGGTGTCTACTATCAGCCATATGCTCATGCTTTTTTGCACAGAATGGACACATGAAGAGACATATACATCCAATTTCTTTCACACCTAATCTATCAAACACCCCCTCCTCCTCCACCTGCTTTTCTCTCAATTAGGTGAAAAATATGACTCTCCCTTTTCATTTTTCCTGTTGGCGCATCTTTCACTGCCTTAAATGTTTTTAGCTTTCTCCAACATGTGATATTTGTATGGACACATATTTATGTTAAAGACACTTGACTAAATAATGCACAGAGGTGTGGAAGAGGGGAATACAAGAAGGTAAGTTCAATTGAGTAGGTTGAAGTTGGTAAATTTACATTACTATCAAGCAATGGGTGGTAAGAGGAAACCATGAAGAAATGTTATCTATGTTGACTTTCAATCTAAACATACACGAATCATTAAAATGCTATTATGCGTGGGCCTCTGTACTGAACATTCTATCACATATTTCTATGAGGGTTGTTTACTTTGACAGTATATAAAATGTATTTCCTCCTGCACATGACCAGCTCACCTTGAACAAGCAACCAATTTCCCAATTCTTTCACACAGATACTGTGAGCTACCTACTATATATATATTTTAGCCAAGTAAATCAATCTTCAGAAATCCAGGTAACTCAACAGGGTTCCCTACCCCCTGTAAAAACTATATTCTTATCCTTTCCAATCCCGTCTCAATTCTGTAATGACTGAGAGAGTGAGAAATGCTAGTCACCTTTCTGTATAATGTGTGAATTATGTGTGCGAGAGAGCGAATGAGTGAATGAAATTCCATTTGGATACCGATTTCTAATCTCAAAGGAGCCACAGGTGGCAGCATCCTTCAGCCTCGGTCTAGCTTTCCTACGGAAACTTCCATTGCAGAGTCTAGAAGCAATGAAAGTCAAAAAGCTAGCAGGATTTGGACTTTTGACACCAAATAAGTAGATTGGAGGTTAGTTGACACAGCCATGTTTTGCACTGCACTGCACCAAACATGTGACCAACAAAAAAATCACAAAGAAAAAGACAAGCAAAACGTCCTTAGACAGATTTAACAATTTTAAAGCAGCATCAACAAATTGCCGAACCAGCTATTATATCCCCCAATTAAAACTATCCCACAGCTGAAATGCTCCCTCTTTACTATTTTGATTAAATGCATGCACCGAATATGAAAATAATTTTGACCCACCTGTTTTAGGCTCTGCTTCCCACTCCCTAAAAGAGAGCTGACTCCTGTTTTCCTTGCTTACTCATGTGCTAAACTTAAAGTCTATCTGTATTATATAAGCATGCTTTATTTACTACTGAGAAACAAACATATAGTTAAGTTGCGTTGATGCTGCATTTTGTCTTTATAAATGTACTCAGGTGATACTATATGAAAAGAAATATACAGACTGTACATCTAACAGGTGCATCAAGGTTGGACTGTAGTTTTTGTATAAAAGTCAAACAGGGCACACATGTAGTAAGTAAAGGTTCAGGACAGATTCTCAATTCTTCTATATCTCAGCCCTGATTTCGATATTAGAACACAGTAACGGAAAAAGTAAGGTAATCAGAGGGGGGCTCTAAAGATACACTGAATAAATTTTACACATGAACAGTTTTGACATCAAAAGGATTATGGTAAGTGGGCACGCTAATAATCCTCAGAGAGCATGAATAGTTAGTGTGTGAATGGTGACATTAACATCCAAAGCCATTCTGAGTTTCCTCTCAAAACTCCAAGACTGAAAGTTCTGTTTCACATAAATAAAGCCCAATATTTCTATGAAATTATTTACAAGAGGCACCTGAGTTCCTATGACAACATGCACCCCCAGCACACAATTGATGCCTAGTTATTCTTAAACAGTGATAGCAGTGAATGAAAAATCAAAGACTATAGAATATTCTAAGAGTAGCGCATGGCCACATCAGATTGAACAGGAATGCTAAGGAACATTTTGCAGGATCCTCACTTATACACCATCTACAAATCATGTGCTGTAAAATACATGAAAATACATATGCACAAAATAAAACAAGTGTAAAGACGCCTGTAAGACTAACTTGCTACTAAAGTAAGAAACCAGAAGAGGTGCCCCAAATAATTGGAAAGCCACAACAACCATGATCTATATGATAGAGACAAGCTATATGAAATGTATACATAGTTTGTGCTTCAGAGAACTGTTTGCATACAAAATATAATCTATTTGTTTTATACAGCAACTCTGCAGATGTCCGAGCAAATCTACCACCTTTCTACGGCACAGAGATCACCCCCCCCCCCATTACCCAAAGAGGTAGGTTTGTGTGAGATGCATATCAGTGAAATACCCCCCCCCCCCCCAAAAAAAAATCTAAATTAGGAAAATGGGAAAGAGGGTGAACTAAAACCAGCCTAGAGAAACTATAGAATTGATTTTCCTTGGAATATTTCATGCAAAAATCTAGTTCAAGGTATCGCTTGATATTGGCATAAAAAAAGAGACATGTAACTCTATGGCTTTTTTTTTTTTTAAAAAAGTTGCATTTGACAGACTCAAAGATCCTTTATGAGTGTCATATATGAAAATCCACATACGCACACAGGGGTATATACATATATTCATACATACTGGGGTACATACATACATACATTTAACAAAAGAATAGAAACAGAGAGGGAGAGGTTCCCTATTTGCCTTTTGGGGTTTTTCTGCTGAAAACTGAAGAATTTTGAATCTCTGAACCACCTCGCTAGGGGTCAGTGAGGCTTTCTCTTGCTGATTTTCTTAATATCCCAAAAAGGAGTTTGAAAGTGAGACATTGCACCAGTTGCTCCAACTGCTGGAAGGAGGCAGAGATCAAAAGAGGGAGGGGGCAATCCACTAGGAAGGGAAGCAAGGGAACGGTGCAGCAAGAGCAGTAGAGATGCAGACTCTGGAGGAGTCTGGGAATCCAGGTGCCTTCAGACCCACCAGTTGAACCTCATTGACTGAAGGAAAAGGATACTGCTGGGAACCTTAGGGCTCATTTCTCACCAAGCTGGACAGAATGGAGAAATTATATTTATTATTTCTCTAGCAGATGAATTAAAGAGACGGAGAGCAGAGATCTCCAAAACAAGAACCACCTGGGGGAGGTCAAACGCAAGCAGCTCTGGGGCAAAACATAAAAGTGGCCATGGCTGGAAGTCTCCTTTTCCCTATCGGATTGAGTAAAGGTATGGACACAAGCTCCCCATCTCTCACCCCAGATTTGGCCCCGTTTCCTAAGCTAGAGGAGCAAGTGAAGGAAACCCATAGAAAATTTTCCAGGGTTTTGCTTTTGTGCAGAAAAGGCTGTTCCATTGCCTTGTCTCTATGATCCTGAGGATGGGTTTACTGGCCTTTCAGTCCACTGCAGTTTGGAGAATGTCACCCAACAAACACACTTCAGAGACATTGTGTACTGAGTACAGGAGCGTAACCTCATTCAAACAATGGTTAGTCATTGGATTTAGGTGGGGTGGTGGTGGCAGAAGCTAAAATCTACAATCCTGTTAGGGTCGAGCCAAAACTGGTTCTTCCCCATCCAGAGTCAGACAGCCTTGGCAGCATCCTTTGCCTGGCCTGGGATTGAATATCATCATTTATTTCCTGTCTGTGAGCAGCCTTCCCTCTGGAATATGGCCAACCTGTCCTATTGCCCTTTCATGTGACTGGGAAGACATGGGACCATTAATGACCCTAAGGCCATTAGGGTCAGGATGTTAGTAGGGGAGTTCTGGCATGGACATACCTGTCTAGTGGTTTACTGTGAGCATCAAGCAGTTTTAGCTGTTTTTTTTAATGAATTTGTTTTGTTTGCCATTCAGAGGTTCTTAGAGATAGGTGGATTAATAGATGAACTGTTTCCACCTCTTGCTCACTAGCCACCTGTCCCATATCTTGTCTGGAGATTATCCCAAGGAGAGTTTGCTTTCCTGTCAATGAGCAGACACAATAAGTTGCTCATTTATTTCCACGATTCACCTTTCACTGGCCCGGTTCCAAACTACCAGGATGATGGACTTGTGGGGAATACAGGTGCACAGAGCAAAAGGAGAAATTGGCAGAGCAGCCAGCCAAGCCCTGTAGACAGGCTGCAGGTGGAGCATCAACCTTTCTGTACCAACCTTTCTGGGGACTGGCAGCATTTCCTAATACTCATGGGGGTCCATCCACCCCTCCCAACTAGGTGTCTTCTCATTTGCTTGAAAGCCTACCTGTGACAGGTTGTAGGCAAGTTAACTGCCCTGCACACCATATCGCCCTTTTCTCTCCCACTCCTTCAGTTTTCACTCTCCAAGTTCTCCTGGTCCATTCCTCCCCCATGGCGAAGACCATGCAGTTGCCCTCCACCTTCCCTCTCCGCATCCCGCATTATCCAACCACCATCCGCACTGCCGACTTATTAACATGCAGAGCAGGCAGCTCGCAGCTCCGATCCGCTACGGGTAACGGGCAGAGATCTCAGCCTCCCTGCTAGGCTGCTAGCCTTTGGCTTCCGCCAACGAAGCAGGGAGGTCAGTCCAGAACTTGGGACAGCTCCTCCCCGGGAACTCCCGGCTTGTGGCGGGGCGATTCCGAGCACAGCCTGCAGGCAGCAAGCGGGGACCCTGCCCGGAGCGCTCTGAGAAACTCGGCCCGCGCACTGCAAGTTCCCGCTCAGGGCTTAGCTGAGGCGAGGAGCGCTCGCGGGGGGCAGCCCCGAAACCTCTCGCCCTTCTCAGGCTCGAAGCTGCGGCACGAACAGTCAAGCTCCCCCCCGCCCACCAAACGCCGCCACCCCAGCCAGGGCGAGCTTCCCGAGGCGACTCTTGGCCCTGCGGGCTCCCCATGGACACTCCGCGGCTGGAGACCACCCTCCGTCCGTCCCCTCGCGCCCCGCCCCTGCTCTTCCCGCGCGAGGCTCCCGCCTGACCCGGTCGCCCACTCACCCAGAGCGGTCCGCAAGCCCGCGGCCGGTAGAGGGAAGGGGCTGCTCTCTTCAGTCCGGCGGCGCCCAAAGCCCGCCTCACGCTCTCCTCGCAGCCTGACGGTACCTCTCCAATCACTCCCCTGCAACCCTGACGCGCCTGCCCGTCTCTCTCCGCGCTGCCTGACAGAGTGGGCCGGCTCCTGATGCCGGGGACCCTGCAGGCTCAGGCTCCTCAGCCTCCCTGGCTGGGGAACCAACGCGCGGCTCGCTCTGCCCCCCCCTCCACCTCCCCGCAAGGGCATTCCTCCTTTTCCCTCCAATCGTCTCCCTTTCACCCCACCCCCGCCCGGCTGGCTACTATTAGTCACGCGTCCGAGCTAGGAGCCGTGTAGCGTCGACCGGTGGCTTATTTGGCTCTCTGGGACCCCGGCAATTAGGCACAGAGCCATTGACAAGAACCGCTGGCACTTCGGAGGGAGTATTTTTTCCCCCTCCCATCCCTCCAAAGCGTGTGTGGCTGGGTGTGAGTGTAACAGGTCAGAGATGCCGGTGGGAGAAACCGCTATAATGTTGCAGCTCCTGAGACTGATGTCCGGGGACCCCTTTGCTCTTCTGCTAACCTCAGTGATGATTGCCAAATACTGACGGGCAAGGCAAGGACAAACCCAGACCCACACCAGGAAACGACAGGTCTTATTTCAAGTATCATGCTGTAGCTAATTGAAGCAGTGGGATGCAGTTTGCCCAAGCAGGAATCACCCTCGCCCTTTCTCTCCCTATTCAAGAATTCCCAGGGAACAACCCAGCTGGTCAAAAGCTTCTCTGGTCACTAATGGGACTTTCAAGAACAGAGAAATGCTGTGGGGAGGATTCTGGTTCTTTTGAAACAGATCCTCTTAAGGGGGCAGCCTGGATCTGAATCAGAAAAGTGGAATTCTGTCTCACTTCAATAGGGTTCCCTGAGGGATGAATTCTGGTGCGCCACTATCCTTCACCTTCAGGGTCTCATCTGTAACCCTGGAATAGTAATCATGATTTACACGAAAGAGATGAGACTGAGCAAAAAAATAAAATAAACATCACAAGAAAAAAAAAAAGAGTTTCCTAATCTCTTTACTTTAAGGAACCTCAACAGATGGCAGCATCTGACTGACTTGTCTAGGTCTGGAGGCTGAGCCCTGATTAGTCCTTGGACAGGAGGCCAAGTAAGAAATTCCAAGGCCAGTGCATGATTTTTTATTTTTTATTTACATGTGTTCATGAAGTCACCAGGAGTTTAGCCAGCTCAACTTGAGGATATCTTTACTACACCCCCCCCCCACCGCTTTTTTTTTTTTCCATGGAGGGTATATTTATTCTTAAAGGTTGATCAAGCAGTGGCATAATTCGAAGAGTCTCCTTCAAGTTCAGGTTGTGACTCCATGGACACACGCCTGTACAATGTCTCTTGAGGGCAGTGTGGAAGGGGTTGTTGCTTTTCCTATGTAGGAGTTTCCTGGATTTTCTGATCAGCAGGGGTGCCTATAAGCCTGGTGCTACGAAGGACTCCTTCTGGGCAGGAATAATGTGGATACCTGTCATGTATCAAGAGAGAATTGTGGGGCATTCCTTTAGAATCCACAATGACTAAGAGAACAAAAATTCTGAGGTTCTTTGAGGTAAAGAGCATAGGAAATGGTTTATTATTACAGGTAGTCCTCAAGTTACAACCACAACTGAGCCCAAAATTTATGTTGCTAAGAGAAACATTTGTTAAGTGAGTTTTGCCCCATTTTAATACCTTTCTTTCCATAATTGTTAAGTGAATCACTGCAGTTATTAAATTAGTAGCAGTAGCAATAGCAATAGCATTTAGACTTATATACCGCTTATATACTTATATACTGTAACACAGTTCTTAAGTGAATCTGGCTTCTCCATTGACTTTGCTTGTCATAAAGTCACAAAAGGTGTTTACAGGACCTCAGGACATTGCAACAGTCATGAATATGAACCAGTTGCCAAGCATCTGAATTTTGATCATGTGACCATGAGGATTCTGCAACGGTCGTAAATGTGGAAAATGGTCATAAGCCACTTTTTTTCCAGTGCTGTTGTGACTTTGAACAGTCATTAAATGAACAGCTGTAAGTTGAGGACTACCTCTATTATTTTGTTGTTTTGCAATGGAACATGCACTGCCCCTTTATGCCTGACAGATTTATATTCTGTCCAAATTCTCTTTGATTTCTGATTACAGTGGATTAAAGTGGCTCTCCTCCTACAATGTCCTGAATATTAACTCTGGAAGCTGGTTGTTGAATATCAGGGTTACAGTTAATCCAAAAAGGTAATAAAATATAATACTAGAAAAATTGCATTATTTAAAAACCTGTTGCCTCTGCATTCTCATGACTATTTTGTTATAATTTTGTCATGTCTTCAAGTCAGCCAAATTAACCAACTGCAACAATTATTATTTACACTTCAAACACAACCTTAAAAAGTGTTACCAAGAATAGTCTTAAATTTGAATTGTTCAAGAAAGTGGCATGCAAATGTTGGAATTAATCAATCAGTAGAATTCAAGGTGACCTGTTCCTTTTTTTTAAAACTCTAGCTCTCTTTCTGTAGTTGTATATGTAAAAGAAAGTCATGCATACAGTACACATATCCATCCATCCATAACTACCCTGCTATTTATTTTTCAGGTAAGCAACATTATGCAAAGTCTAAAAGAGACGACAAAAAATAGAAACCTTTAGAAATTCAAGGCACGAAACATGGAAAAAAGAAGAAAAGGGTGTGTAGCTAAACCAGGTTTACACCAATACCATTTGCTATAGCTTTCTACATTATATTTGGGCTTTACAAACCATCCTTTCTTCCTCCACATTTATATATCACTTCACACTCATATTTTGTTCTTTAAATTCCTTCACTTCCATCTTGGGAACATTATTTTCCCCACCCAACATAGTTTCTCATCCCTGCTTATCTTCTCAACCCATTCATTTTTATTTCGTATATTTGTTTTGAATTTTATTATTTTCTCTTTCAGGGAGAATATTTCAGAGTACTTCCTTTCTACTGAACACTTTAGCTTTCAGTTCACAGTCACTCCACAACCATGCAGTCTTGACCTCCTGATTTTATCACATAAATCCTCCATTCCCCCATAATTTAATTTTTGTTTTTCCTGCCACATTCAGCATTTATTTCATATAACAAAATAGTTAGTCAAGCACTCTTATGCAGGAGTTTTCAATTATTTCAATAACATACAAGCATACATACAATGTCAAGACTTTCTCATTTTTTCCTATTTTAATAAATGTTCTACCAAATTATACAAATTCATTTATTATGCTACATTTTCACCATGAATATGTAATTTGCAATTGTTCACTCTGTTCTCTATGAAATACAGTTACCTTATCTTTGGTGCACTACATTATAGATTCATACTCTTTGTTGCATTAGAATCATAAAATTTGAAGGGTTTTTAGAGGTCATCTTGTCTAACCCTCTGCTCAGGAAAGATCCACTATAGATGACATCTAGACACTTTTGAAGATCTGTAGATCTGAAGATCTGTAGTGATGGGAACTTTATTTTATGTGTTAGAGTTGGTGGACAGGTCATACAGACAGGGAGTTCTTCCTGATATGTAGTCTGAAATATCTTCCTTTAAAAGCTAACTTATTGCTTCTGGTCCTGCCAACAACAACAGAGAATAACCCATTCTTCCTGTGTGACAATCGGTCAGGTATTTGAAGATTGTGACTCTTTTACTGTTAACTGTTTCTTGCTCAATTTTTTGCAATTATCTTTTTCTCTATATATAGGTCATACAATATCTGTCAAATTTTTTTGGCATGCACATTCTCTTAATGTTTTTCCTCATACTCAGCTCTTTTACCTTATCACTCAACCTTTTCATTTCTGTACTTCATAGGGTAATTCTTTTTATTCTATGAAAATGAAAGCTGTTTTAACATCCTTTTCCCTTGCCTGCTTTCTATTCATTCAGTTGAGAGATTACAGTAGTCTGTCTTCTAATATTTTTTCATACCAGACTCATACCCTTCTTGCAGTCATTTTATTTTAATTTTAATTTCTTTCACTTCTTTGATTTTCTTTCCTATGAATTGTTCTGAACATCTACTTGTAACACTATCTTATAATGGTCTGTTCAATATGTGGAACCTCTCATCACACACTTCTGCTTAACATATACATTTGAACAAATATTTTATGTTTCTTTTTTCCAAGCAGATACTCACCAAACAGTCTCCATTCTCATTCATTCTTAGGTCTCCAAATATCCCAGTCAATTTTTCTTGAATATTCTTGTTCTGTTCCTACCTATCCATTTATTACAGTGTTGGCGAACCTTTTCGACACCAAATGCCGAAACAGGAATGTGGGGGAGCACCAGAAACCAGAAGAACAACTCCCTGGCATGCACATGTGCGCTGGCTACCAGGTCTTCCAGTTTTTGCCCACATGAAAACCAGCTGGCCAGCACGCATGCGCATACCGTAAACCGGAAGCTCAGCTTCCCAGCATGCGCATGCATGCTCGGGAGCTGCTCTTCCAAGTTTCAGCGCTCACGTGCATGCGAAGACCAACTGGCTGGCGCGTATGCATATGCTGGACCAGGAAGAGCAATGGGTGATGGCTGGTGTGCCTGGAGAGATGGCTCTACGTGCCACTTCCGGCATGCATGCCATAGTTTTGCCATCATGGATTTATGACAATTGACGGAGTATTTCTCCTATCCCCTCAGATTCTCCTTCCCCCTCTCCAGCCAAAATTTTGAGGATCCTCCTGTGGATGCTCTGGCTGCCTTTAGAAGGAGGAACTCACTTATTCACACACTGATAAAAAAAGACCAGTGGGATCCTGAGCTTGGTGGAGTGATCTGTAGGGAGACTAGTTTCTAGAAATGGACTAGATAATAGTTTTGGTGGGCCTATCTAATAGACAAAATTGTTTTATATTATATGAAGAAATGGCTCATTCATAATACTAAGTGAATTATTTAGAAATAATAATGTGATAAGGATTTAAATACCAAGGTATATATTTTCCTTTTCTTTCTTTTCCTTCCCCTTTTCTTTCTTCTTTCCTTTCTTTCCACTTCCATTTCCCTTACTTGTTTGTTCATGTATTTAATTCCTGTATTTATAAAAGTA